CATACACAAATGTTTATTTGCTAAATAAAAGCTTTTACCAAATCTAACACAAATAATTCATATACTGATTTTCATATTTACTTCTGATTAAGTTTAATTCTGAACTGTGGCAAAACAAGGGGAAATTGGAAGAAACAGATGCTAAGATCAAAGAGTCAACACTTGCTGGTGTTACCTGGAAGAGCAGATGTGGGAAGGACAGAGTGTAGCAAAAAGCAGTTTAAAATTAAGTTTCATAAAGAGTAGTGAATGCAGTTGATAAATGAATTCATGAAAGTATTTCCTACATATAAAGGRAAAGTTTAATTTACTGTTTCTTCAGAGTGCTATGTAAATCCTACTTGCTTTCAATGTCATCCTTCCTTCTACAACAACACTGTGTCAGGGATATATAACACCTCCACACCTCCTRACTGTGAAAATTCCCCAGACCTCCCCAGTGCCACATCCCAAGTTGGGGTGAGGGCAGAACTACACCCTAAACATCAAACCCTGGGCTGGCACATCAACACCTGTTTCATTCACTGTGGAAAGACGTAGGCTGGGTAAGGCTTGTGAGCCACTGGAGCCACACAGTACCTCCACTCAGCCACAATAACACTAAACAACTTGAACTCAAAAGGTAAGTTTAAAAAAAAAATTAAAACCCAAACAACCTGAAGTTCCCTTCAACAGTATATAAGCATTTCCATTTGTTGCACTTTATTTCTCTTAGTTAGAATTTTCTGTCCYCCAGCTGAAGGTTATCCACAGCACGTCCATAATAGGTACAACAAATGGACATGTAACCTRATGCAACTCTTTTACCCAGCTAAAGAATTCATCTCTAGGACCYTGTCCCTACCAGGATTTGAATATATGCTGTCACGAGTTACATACACCTTTAAATCCTACTCTAGAAAAGAGCTAGGTGGGAAAGGAAAGGCGATTTTTTCTATCTATTTCACCTCTGCTGATTATAATTAATCAGACAAAATGTGATTGCAACGAAGCACTATAATTACAGGTTGAGCTTTACAAAAATATTCACATATACTGGCTTTCKATCTGTACTTTCCCTATTCAAACCTCAGGAAATAATGACACAAAACGAAATTTCCTCACATTAGTTGTAATGAACAAGAAACTGGAAGCAAAGAAATAATCTCATTTGACAYCACTAGTCACCTCATAAATCTCATGCCAAGGTTACCCACTAAAGGGGAAGACTGGAGGATGCAGCTTTGGCATTTCAAGAATGGCATAAAAAGGACTACAACAGAAAGAAGCTATCTTCTTTTTTCTGTATTTCTAAAGGGAAATCTGCAAGATTCAGTTGTATTTTGCTGATTATTTTTCAAAAGGAAAAGAATTGAATAAATTCAGTTTAATGTAATTCAAGAGAAAAATAGCTTACAAGTGTTTCAATTTAGAAACATAAATATTTATCTTATGCTAAGCCAATGTGCAGCCTTTTATATGCAGTTCAGYATTTAAAAATGACAGATTTAGTTAAAAAGGCATATGATGTTCATATAACTAATATAGTACAACAGTCTTCAGCAAAATTTAAAATTACTAAAATGCAGACTGCAGAATAAAGACACACAAACAAGGAGTCTGAATTTGAGGGAGAAAACCCTCATCTTTCAATATTTTCAGTCCTTTTTTCCCCTTCTTTAAGGTTCCACACACTGCTTTTCCAAAAAAATTATTAATTTAGGAATGTACTAATGTATCAAAATTTATAATTGCACCCCAAAAAACCCTAAATAACTTCCCTGCAATTTATGCTTTGGCTTTTCCTGATCTTCAGAAAATGGACTTCTGAGTCCATGGTGCCTGAGTTAGTTAGTTCTAGTTCCAAAGCATTTCAGTATAGCAATATCAGATACAYACAATGAGAGTGAAAATCTGTGTAGAAATCATTCAATTTTATTACCCTTATCATTCAGCAACAGTTGAATATCATTCTGCAAGCAGCTTTTCCCAAGAAAGATGTGCCTGCGACATCAACCTGTCTCAAAAAAGCATCCTGAAGTAGAGGTGCTTCATGCAATGATGTCTGTAATAATTTTACTCCCTTAGCTTCAGTATCTTAAGGTTTACCAGCTTGTAAACAGAGAACACAAGAACTGCTRAGGAGAAGTCACCTTGAAGTTATGACTGCAACTGTGAAATAGCCTGTCTTGGTTACATATTTGAAAGCTGCCTGGACTCCTCTATTACAYAGCTGTAATGTGCATATAGCTGTTTTTCCTTTGGATATCACCAAAGTGTTTTTCCTTACTTCTCTCCTCCAGAGGCAGCTGCAATATTACAGTAAAGTACAGTAATTTTTGTAGCACTATTTAACCATATTTAGAGGAGATTAAAATGGTCCTGCATTTCCCTACCTAAACTAGAAATATTATTCTGTTAAAAGACTTTTAAAAGATTTAATTYATGAAAAGCGGATGCCTCCTTTCAGCTAATACTCAGTCTCCAGTTGGGAAAGTACTGGAAAATGTCCCTCTTCAATGCAAGGCTGCAGTTGAGGAGATTTGAGTCGAGGAGCAGCAGCCAGGCAGAACATCAGTGTAGTGCATCCCACCAGCCTGCCTAACACGGCRTGGCCATCAAAGTTTTAGTGGCTGTTTTGCGTCAGAACATCCAAACCAAACAAATGTACATAGATGAGGACAGTACAGAGGCATAGAACAACTGGAGAGCAAATGTCCATGTACAGATCAAGCCTTGAATTGAGTTCATCGAGTGGCTTTCAAGGGCAGCATATGGAAATTTCTCCTCAGCTGCAGGGACAGGAAATTGAAACAGCCCAGTCAAAAATCATTTGTTGCTGGTTTCTCTTGAGCTATTTCAACAAAAGGCATCTTTCTACGACAGGTCTGCACAGGATTCAAAASGGAAGGATAGCATTCCAGAGCTTATAGGCACTAGCGGCCCTAAAGGTTAAAATGTTACCCCTAACTAAATGCATACATCCACTTGACAAAACATGCATAGAAAAACACTGAAATTATTGTCTAGGGATATAGATGCTAGCATCTGTGAATTTTAATTTTAAACCAAAAGTATTTTTCTAAATATGCAAGTCTAATCACATCAGTGAGCAAAAGTTGTCCCTCTTGAAACATACATTCAAAACAGTGATTCAACCGACTATGCCACACACAGAGCTGACAAATCAATGTTGTGTGTGACTGCAGAAAAAACATCAGGGAGGGAGGAAGGGCAGAAAGGAGGGAGAGAGTGAGGGAGGGAATGGAAAAAGGGCACATAATAAAGGGCARTGTCTGAATGAAAATGCAGAAAGTATAATATTCCCATCACTAAGTCCTAAAGGTCTTAAAAAGCACAGCTGCGTCTGTATCATACCAAATGTTCCTCAAACAGGTGATCTCTAAGCACCTGTCTCTGGCTTAAGGCAAACTGACTGACATYATTGTGATGTCTCAGTTGAGATGTCTTCAGCTCATTCACAGCTGTTGAAACATATCAAGGAATAAGCCACAAGTACCATCCTTTTCTTATCAACAGCTGCTATTGCAAAAGAACTGCAACAGTATTGGTGTCAGTAGGCAGTAACGCACAAAATGTTGGTTCATCCTGAATCCCTGCAGTCAAAGCTGTTTAGCGCATTTGCACCCTGGGAGTGATGTATCCTTCCTTGTCTCAATACTGACCTTTATTGCAAGACATAGGTTCTGCTGCAAATGCTCGGGCTCTGCAGAGCAGTGATCTGCATGCACAAATAAGAAACAAAATTCTGACCTGCAACATTGTTACATGCCCAGATTATACAAATCTAGYTTTTAAAATCCTTAGTTAACATCCACACCAGCTCTTTTTGCAAATTAGAAAGACTGTCGCTTTCTGTTTTTTTCTGGYTGGGCCCACATAAATTCTGTTTACAACATAGAGACAGAAACATTTTAAACTGAATAYAAGTGTATATGATGAGAACTAATGATAAATTATAAAATAAGTTATTAAACTAGTTTGCTCATCTTAACTACTCTTTCTRTACATAACGAAAAGAACAAAAGATTCCAAAGGCATCCCTGATGTACAGTGTAAACAAACAGGCCACCTCGAGAGTTTATGGGTACAAGGCACTATGATTAAGCTGCTTGAAAACAGCATGAACTAGCCACTTCTGAAAACATTAACAGCAAACAAGCCATGTTTCAGCTTTTATATCACTTTAACAACTTCTTAGAAATGTTGCCTAGACAAGCTAAACTTCTTAATGATAAATAAAAAACGAATGTTCTGAATGAAAACAGCAATKATGTGGAGTTTATTATTGGGGTTTATTTYGGGKTTTTTTTTGTTTGTTTGGCTTTTTTTTAGTTAAATTCTTTGATACTGGAAGAAGGAAGAAGCAAGGTGTTWCAAGTGGAAATATTAGAACACAACTTGCACCAATACCCAGTGAGCATAAAGGTATCTTCACAGGAAAGCATCTGTAACTGCATTTATCCACCAGTCTGGCTTCCTGGTTTTGTGGCTGCAGAACTACCAAGCTATAAACCTGTAAATCGGAAAGCTTTTTGAGGCAAGGAGGGATACAGACGTCCTGACGACCTACAAGCGATGACACCGAGCTCTGGCAGAGCCCACTTCACCGGCACCCTTTGAGTTTCCACCTTGCAGCATTACCTCCGCTTGAGGCCGGGTAGCACCAGCCGCCAGATTTAACAGAGAGCACTGACCACTTCAGCGACCTGACTTGTTTTCCCGTTCACGAYGCCAAGTAACTTCTGGCTCGCTGAAGGCAAAGCCCGGTTACCACACGAGTGTGGCGCAAAGCGCACCTGACCTCCCCGCCTTAGTAAAACAAAAGTTTCCACGGAGAAACAAGTCAGCGCGGGCTGTGGGTGCTGTGCCCAGGGTCCCAGCCCCTCAGGATCCCCCGCCTCTCCCGAAGGGCGCAGAGCTGCCGCGGCGGGACGGGCCGGCTGCCCGCCCTCACACGCACCTGTGGCGGCCGGCGCTGCCGCGCCGCTGGCTCTCACCTGGATCTGCAGCGGGACCAGGCGCACCTTGCAGCGCTCGTTGACCAGGAAGCCCTTCGGCAGGTCGATGTACTGGCTCCACTCCTCGGCGAAGAGCTGCACCACGAACTTGCGGTGCATGTCTATCTGGTCCCCGTACAGGCTGAGGAACTTCTGGATCAGCAGCTCGTAGCCGGCGCCGTGGGGCACACTGGAGGGCCGCGCGAAAACCGAGAAGCAGAAGAGGACGGGCACGGAGCCGCCGCCGCCCGCCGGCGCGCAGCCCCCGCCGCCCGGAGCAGCGCCCGGCTCCGCCGC